TCACCCCCCCCCCCCTTAGGGGCGGGCGGCAGCCGCAGGAGTGAGGGGCAGGTCTGGGGGGATAAGCGGTAGCCTAAGTCCACGGGGCACCGCCTGAGACGAGCAAGCAGCCACTGCGCCGCCAGGCCGGGCTCATGTTTATTCCAGCGAGAACCCACTTCCAGCCATTTTCCAACAAAATCACAGACCAAGATTCAAAGGACACGGGGGGGGGGGAAGCAAGGTGGAGGACCGTGGAGGACCACAAAGTAGCAAGCCCCTGGCAGCAGCCCACAGCCGGCAGAGCCGCGTGGGAGGTACAAGCCGGCGGTACGCACAGCACGAGAACAGCACGCAAGCACCTGCGAGCAGGGAACAGCCAGGGAAATGCTGGCGGCGTCCGGGGGGGCTTGGCCTTGGGACGGAGCTTTGAGGGGTCGGAGCCGATTCAAGTGCCGGAGTCACGGGGCAAGGCCCACGCCGGCAGCCACGAGGGTTGTGTAAGTTACAAAACGAGCCAGGCAGCTGTTTGCAACAGGAACCCGCCCCAGGGCGGGGCTGGAGCTGAGCAGCAGGGACAGGGAGCAGAAACCCACCCCCAAGCTGTAGCCAGCTGGCAGGATGCTCATGGGGGGCTCACGGCTGTTGGGGTGAGGTCCCAGCTGAAGGCAGCCCGGCCATGCTCAGGCCTTGCCCTCAGGGTTCTGGGAGAGGAACAGAAGGCCCTGGCTGCCCCTTTCCACCAGCCTGGTCACCTTTGCCACTGCCCCAAGGCACCGGGCTGAGCACCCCCTTCGATGAACCAGCCCAGCATGAGCCACAGGCACACGCACTAGGACACTGGAGCACGGCCAAGGGAACCCAGGCCCCCCGGCTCCGGTTCCCTCCTGCGCCCACTGCTCCGGGGGGCCTTGGGTAGGCAGAATCCAACTGGTGGGGTCAAGCAGTGACCGTAGCCAAATGGGGGTACCAGCACATCCCCCAGGCCTCCCCCCATGCGGTGCCCTGCGCTCAGCTGACCCGCCGTGGCGGGGGGG